ATCGCGCCACTCATCCTACACTCATATTTGGGTTAAAATACGCACATAGTGGCGCCCGCATCTTAAATAAATGATATAATTGATGGTTGATATGACTGCGTCAAAGGTATACAGAGCTTTAAAGTACCTGTAGCTCATTCCATAAGAGTTGCATTCCAATATTTTCTCTTTGAGTTCAAATGACTATGCTAAATCTGGTTCATAGATGGGATCTCCTTTTGGATTAACGAACTCGCTGAATACATGTCGCAAGAGTGTTTGCTCAAGATTTAAGTTAAATACCACCTAATGAGTTAAACTGAAATATTTTCAGCATTTAACATATACAAGCTGTTGGCCCGTCCTACGTACGGGAATCGAGTGGTCAACTAAAACTGAATATAATTCAGAAAAGCTAGTTTACACACATTGAGACCAATTCTGCCGTTTTATTGAGTATCATCTTGTAAACAGCAAAACAGTTTAGTTAACATAAAATGAGAGCCTCGATTTTATCATTGACTATATACCTACATTTTATACAGAAATAGTTTATATAGGCCTAATCTTACTTATTTCATATAATCAATGACTAAATCACAGAGTATAAATAATAAAATAATCTCATAATTGCATATTGCACTAAAATAAACTTATTATTATTATTACTTAAAGATATTATAGACTGCTCTAAAAAATAAATTATATCATCCAAAGTTTTACTATGTATATTTAAATAATAAATATGTCACCCTCTTAACGAATAAATAAAAGTATAAATGATTATAGCAATACACATACCTAGTATAAATAAGTCAAACCTTCGATGTAATTTTTATCCGAATGCTAAATTTGTGTCACATACGCTAAATGTTTACAGCTGTTACGTTGAGCAAATGATATTATACCAAAAGCTAGTGTAGAATGTTAGCGTCGGCTGCTAGACTTTAAAAAAATTAAAACTTAATTAATAAAAACCTGTAACCCTAAACTAAAATTATGGCTTTGACATTCCCTAGTTCTCAAAATTATCTTTCTTTCAACACAAAAATCCGTCAAGGGGTTGATTCAGAATCGTGAAATAAAAAAAACCCTGTCACGTTTTAATATATATGATTGATGCGATCAATAATGTATTACTTTCATCCACAAGCACTGTTACTGCCATTACCTACTTAACTATCAGACCTTTACTAAAATTACAAATTTGTTTCAGAACAATGTTTCAGGCTGATTTACCATTATTGTTGATAAAATAATTTGTTTCAATCCATTTATCAAGCAAAGAATTAAGTTTTAACACGTTTGCTGCGGCTCATCAATGGCGGGCGCATCCCTGGTGCGGCACAGCATTGAACGAGCACAATTGCTGGGCGATTGGCTTTCAAATTTCGGTCTGACGAATAGCAAATAACGTGGGGTGATATACAGCGTTACGACAAAAGTGGTGCTAAAACACCCATAGATAGCAGCACTGCTTGGAACGTAACCGGTTTCATTGTAATGCCAATTGGAGGGAGAAAGACGGGACAACAAGTTGATTTCTAAGCTTGCCAGACGGGGATTTTATGGGAAAATTTACTACCAACCTACACCACAACAAAAAGAAAGTCTCACACTACACGCTAACGTGGTAGGCTATAGGTCCGCCTTCGACCGACGCTAGGCTTGCACTGACTAACAGAATGATGCACTTCAGTTTGGGTTTTGGGTCAGTACTGACCCGTGTGAGGGTTGCAATCACCGAGGGTCAGTACTGACCCACCCGCAGCGAACGTGTTAATCAACTTCCATTTTTGAGAAAGTCACAGATGTCTACAAAACAGCAAAATAAACAATAAACAAATGGTACCATGTGCATACAACAATGTGATGTCCTGCATACTATGGTTTCCACGAAGCCAGTTGGCGGACAGGTTTCTTGCAAGCCCCATGTAACATGAAATACATTCGAGGCAAGTAACCTGTCCGGTAACCTGCCTGCTCTACGGGCCTCATGTAAACGTTGCTTATTGCCAGTGCAACTCAAAACTCAATTAAAATAGATTTAAATTTCCTGAAACTAATCAATTTTTTCAACAAAATTGTAACATTTAGTGACCTTTTAATTTGAAACTCCCACCAAACTACTGTTGTAAAGTTTATGTTCAACTTACTTCAAATGCTGATGAAAAGTTAACTTGAATAAAACTAAATAGAACTTGTTACCTCAATGTTGCCGATAGTTTGGAATGAAGTGAAAACTAACATCAATCCTATGCCACAATAAACCACATTTACAAATCCATAATCTCTTTTGCCCATTTTGTACACCAAATACTCTTGTTTGCTTTTAATTACTTGTCTTGCCGGGAATGCCTGCTAGAGTAACCTAACGATTGAGAAAAACAGTCCTAAATGTGTAATCTTACTGGGTCAAAAATCTCACGCACAATAAGATTAGATAGTTGGACACAAGATTGATTGACAATTAAAACTTTTTCCCACATCTAAAAAGCATTTAGTAACACTTGACAGGATATCTAATGTGTTGTCATAGATAAAACATACTCCCTTAGTAGATTTCTCATCCTTATGGAACAGCTGAAGACAATTTTATTGTTAGTTCTGTACGGTTTATGTAGAGGTCGTGTTTTGTTTACAATTTGTTTCCCATCATTACAGACATTTAAAACCTCGTTTAACCAAATAATACGATCTAATCATAAACAATAACTTGTCCCCTAGTTATATAACCAAACAGTAAAGCACAAATCAAGAAATTAACCCTAAAATAATAGAAACAAAATTTCGTCGACACTAGCGCCCAGTGTCACCGTACATGAACTAGACACGAAAAACGTGCTTCAAAATTTACAATGGGATGAGAAGTCTACCTACTTTGTGTTGGTTAGTCTATGGTGTTGTCTAACTGAAAATACACTTTTGATCACAAGTTGAAATGTCAAGTTGGTTTCGGTAGGCTTACTGTAAATAAAAAATTACTTTTCATGATGTGAAACTGTTGGAAAATTATAGGTTTTGTTGTTTATGGTGACAAGCTGAAGCATTTGTTAGGATAGCTTTGACTAGATACCGCATGTGAATAATGTAATTGATAAAGTACAGTTATAAGCTGGTTTGACAAATAATTGCATTGCAAGTATCATTTATGGTTTTTGCTTGTTTAGTAAAACACCAATCAATACAGCCCTTTCAGTGTGATAACCTGCTCTCTGGATCTTTTTATTTGGAAAATTGCTTACTACCTAGCCAGTAAATAGATTTTAATTAACCATATTCATATTTGTTTACCGGTACTATTCTATTGAGTCTACTGAAAATCAACTAAGTCCAGGAACAGCACCTACAATCTCCAATAAGTAATTAATTAGGCCTACCATGAGACATCATCCTCCTTATTAATTATATTTCTACCCTAAGACCCTATACAACCGAAATTCAAAGGTGTTTGGATACAAGTGTACACTAACTAAAGTTAATAAGCTTAAAACAGAGCAAGCCAGCAGTGTCGAGAGTGCTGACGCTTAAATGAGCACCTGCTATTGACTCTAGCGAGCGTTCTGATTGGCTGACGCCTATCATGTGACATAACGGGTCTCAGTACAGATCAGCTGTAATTCAAAATTTTTTTGAGTCCGTGGCCGAATACCTCCTCATTTCTCTTTTCCATCTCATAAAGTACCTGTGTAATTAAATGCCCCAAAGAACGGGCAACAGTACGACTTTATCGCAGAAAGACGGCCATGGCTACAGAAAGCCCAGCTGCTCAATTGTTTTTTATAATTTATTTGTTTTTATAACAACTAATTAAAAACATTAGGCTATTTACACAGGCAAAGTTAGGGCCACATGGCCCTTTCTTACACTTAACCTGTATAAGTTTCTGCAGAAAATTCTACAATTAGGCCTAACTTGTTTTTTTGCAGAAAATATTTCTGTAGAAAGTTGAAAACTAGATTTTCTGCAGAAAATTTGTTCCGTTCTGCAAACAATAACACTATAAAACGTCATGCACTACCAATACATAAAACGAAAGATTCTACGTCAATATTTGGCGCATCAATTGTGAGGAAGAACGCATAGAATAACCAAATTACCAAAAGGCTATTATTTCCAAATATTGGTTCATTAAAACTAGGCCTATCACAATTAGGTTTGAGTTCAAATTTGTAACATTGTATTTTACTAACAAAGATCTTTAATTTGATGTGCATATAAGCCTATAACACGATTACTAGAAAAATACCGGTAAGGATCATAAACATCAACAAATGAAGTTTTTGGCCCGAAAATAAACATTATTTAACATATGCTAAAACATATGTTCAATGCTATTAGTATAGGATTCGGGCCAACAACGTCATTTTGTTTATGTTTATGATCCATACCGGGTATTTTTCTAGTAATCGTGGCCTATACTTACATTTAAGATTTTATTTTGGCTCAGCGGGCCATCCCTCATTAGCTACGGTGGCCTTTTAAATGTGTTAACTTTTTATAAGCTAGGCCTACAAAAATTATGTAAAAATAATAAAAAAGGAACGGGTAGACTTCCGTATCTGTTGGCACAAACAAGCGAATGAAAAGATCGATCGATATATACGAATGAAACAATTGAATAATCAATATTTTCATTCGTTTGTTTATGCCAACAGATACGGACGACTGCCCAAAGGAACAAGCAGTGGTAGAGAGTGGTCAACAGCGGTCTGAGCAATGAAAAGGTTCAGGATCGGAAGGAAAGAGCTAAATGCAGAGTCCTGTTCTCATCTTACACTTATTTTATATAGAGATATCATAATTTGTAAAAGCAAGAGTGATGTAAACTTAGTAGGTACATGACAGTTAAAAGATTCGAGTGATCAATTGTTTAGTGGATTTAAAAAATAAAATTGCCTATCAAAGAAACTAGGTAATTTGCTAAAAAGACTCACATAACTTAATATAGATAAACAAGCATTGTCTATATTTTATTACATAGGTACAACTAGGCCTAACTTGGCTAGGCTTAGGCCTACCTCAATGTTTCCCATAGTCTGAAAAGCAGTGAAGATCAGCATGAAGGCGAGTCCCAAAACGGTCACATTTAAAAGTCTTTTGTCAAAAATCATCTTGAGGATAATTTTGAACTGTAGTCACTAAAAAGTCAGAAAAAGGCAAGTCGATTGTTATCAACAGAAAGTAAAAATATATTACCTAAACCTAAACGTTCATTCCTTACTTCCAAGTGCAAATTAAAAAGGCTAGTAGAAAATTAAAACGCCGATTTCTTTGTTTATGAAAATCAAATTATTATTGCTATAACTTATACCCTGCAGTAAACTCGTTGCAGAGAGTCGACTGTCGCCGTCAGTTAGTACTTAGTTTTCAAAATCGAAAATAAATGGTAGTTTAGATTCAGATTGACGAGTCCCACCGTTGCTTCACAGTCACACTTGTACTTGACTTGTGTCTGTGTTGTGTTGTTGTGTTGTTGTCATCGAAGCGACACTGACAGAACAGAACAGCTGCAACGCTGCAACAGAAGTGACAGTGCAGTGCAGTGAAAAGTGACGACGACGACAGACAAACAGAACAGAACAGAATCCAAGCAGAAGGAAAGGTTTTTTTCTTCTTTTTTCTTTATCCTGTTTGCTTTAAGTCAGGTTTCATTTATATGCAGCCTTGTTTATTTATTTATTTATTTATTTTCCAATAATTTAATAATCACATAACATCATATTCAGACAGGTGATTCGTCATTGTTACAATATTTTATAGTCTCTGAACAATATTCACCTCCCTCAGGTAACAGAAATAAAATACTTGGACATGCACTTAAATGCAAAGCTCAATTGGAAGGCACATATCTGGACTAAAAGGCAACATCTAAATTTTAAAACAACTAAACATAATTGGCTTCTTGGATCTAAATCAAAACTTAGTACACCAAATAAATTGTTACTGTACAAAACAGTTACTATTTATCCTCCATCGTTTTCTATTATTCTTATTCAAAATTTAATGTGGAACACGAAACAGTATATTTCATAAGTTTACACCACAATGCAAAATTGTACTTCTGGTCATGACTGTACTTTTGTATATTTTGGATCAAACGAACTGCTTTATAACTGGTGGATCAAACTATTTAGGATCAAATGAAATTGGATCAAACGATTTTGGATCATTTATGGTCATTGATGGGCCAATTTAGGTTTCGTTGTTTTTTTTGTATTTTTTTTTTAAGTGTCTTGTTAAAAGATAGGATTTAGAGGGGTTGGTGGGATTGTGAATTTGTCCTAAGAAAAGGAAAAAAGAATAAACCAATGATTATCAGATATAGGTTTTTTTTATTCAATGTCGACCAAGCTGTATAAAAAGAACTTTCTGAGATAGGCCTAGATTGGAAAAAGATAACGATTTTACAAGGAGTAAATAATATTGAGAATGCGTTGACCAGTGATATATTAGAAAAGTTTATGATAACCACGCACCTAGTGTGTAAAAGGGTAACCAAGAAGTAGCTCCTTGGAGAAATGATATAATTAAGTAATTGACGAGGGAAAAAATAAATTAAGAAATAGATATTGGAAGTCAAGAAGCAATATTCTGATTGGCAAAAGTATAAGGAGATAAGAAACAGATTGTATTTAATGGTCTAGTATGAGAAAAAAGGGTTTTTATCAACCAAAAACAACACCACAAAGATTTCTGAAAATTTATCAAGAATTGCGATGTTTATAAGAACAATTGTATAGAAATTATTGACGGTTTTGAAGTTAATGAGATTAACTATTTTACAACAATGGGGTCTGGTAGGCTGATGAAGAAACGATTAAATTTTATATGACTAATTAATAAACAATATGATACAAGAAAGGAATTTAGATTCAGTACGGTCACCGAAGCAACTGTAAAACTAGTGGTGAATCAAATAAAGCTTTTAAACTAAAGCTGTAGCTGTAGGCTGTGATGAAATATCAATAGAGATGTTAAAAGCTGTGAGTCAGATTACTATTGAAGCAATCACACATCTCGTAAATGAGTCACTCATCAGTGGAGTATTCCTAAATACCGGTACAGGGGAAAAAGTATTGTCAGGCCATTGCCAAAAAACAGCTGCACCAACTAAGGTATCATTGTACTTTAATTATAGGACTTTACTAGGATATAACATAGAACGATAGATAAAACATAATCCCTTGTGTTTGTTAGTTTATCATAGAACATATAAGGTCCTAAAGATTTTTTTGTGAGAATGGCAGGCTTACTAAAATCCTATATATGAATCAATCGTCAGAATTATACTTTAGACCCATGCTTTAGACCTAACCATAAACAAACCACATTGTATTTATTTTCTTTGTATTGTAAAATCATAGATAAAACCATAAAACTATATAGACTAACCAACACAAGTCTTGTGTTGGTTAGTCTATATAGTTTTACGGATTTAAAACTTAGTAGATTTCCCACCCCATTGTAAATTTTGATGCTCGTTTTTCGTGTCTAGTCACAGTCTAGTTCATGTCCGGAGACACTGGCGACGAAATTTTGTTTCCATTATTTTAGAGTTAATTTCATGATTCGTGCTCTACTGTTTGGTTATATCATAGATAAAACATACTCCCTTAGTAGATTTCTCATCCTTATGGAACAGCTGAAGACAATTTTATTGTTAGTTCTGTACGGTTTTCTGCAGGTGTCGTGTTTTGTTTACAATTTGTTTCCCGTTATTACAGCCATTTAAAACCTCGTTTAACCAAATAATACGATCTAATCATAAACAATAACTTATCCCCTAGTTAAATAACCAAACAGTAAAGCACAAATCAAGAAATTAACCCTAAAAAATAGAAACAAAGTTTCGTCGACACTAGTGCCCATGTGTCACGTACATGAACTAGACACGAAAAACGTGCTTCAAAATTTACAATGGGATGAGAAGTCTACTTGTGTTGGTTAGTCTATGGTTATATATAACTAGAGGATGAGTTATTGTTTATATAAAACCATAAATAGAACATACTCTTTTAGATATAACCAACCCGTAATAAACCAATTCTAGACGTTACCAACTGGGTCAAACTCAAACAAACGTAAAAACATGGCTAACATGAATTTGATAAAGGGATTAGGATTCTGATTACATTAAAGAAAGTAAATAATGACTATTAATTTAATTATAAACCGTACACTTGCACGATTTAAAATCAATTGGTGGCTTTAGTCATGATGTGGGTGATGTGGTACTTGTGCATTTTACCATACAACCATGGATAATATATACAAGTTAAAATCATGAAATAAACTCTAAAATAATAGAAACGAAATATCGTTGACACTATAGTGATCAGTGTCACAGGACATGAACTATATACGAAAGGCGAGCTTCAATATTTAAAATTAATGTGATGTGTAATCAATTGTTGGTTAGTCTAACCTATATAACTAAACATGTGAGGATATTTTCAACATTGATTGGGGTGCCGATGAAAATAAAGGATCCCCCCCCCCAACAGATAAATATAGTTGAGTTAGTTTTGTATACAGTATTTGCTTTATTGGCTCTTAAATGACCCAAGCCCAAGCTCGGAAAGGAAGTGTCTTTTGTTCACCAGCGCCGTACACGTCATCATTTCAACCAGCCTTTGTTATTCCTGCTCTTTCCTCAACAAAATACACCAAGAAATTTTCTCACTTGACGCCATCTTTTCAGAAGAACGTGAACGCGTCGTTGCTGATTAATCATCTTTCAGAAGTAAGTAAAAGTTAGTTAGGATAAAAAACTATCAAATTGTAATAACCATCATACCAGGTAGTCGCACTAACAATAATTCATAGGTATAATTGTTATTTAAGTTTTCTAGTCAAGCTGGCTTCTTGTCCCTCAACTTGGCGTTGGCGGCCTTTCATGGTGACGCCATGCACTTCTATTATGTTGTTCTATGTTGTGGCCTTGGCTAGAGTTCAAGAAAAATTGTTATCTATGCTTTCAAGTCATTCTTTCTGTATATCCAAGAATATGTTTCAGTTGAACAAATTGTATTTTTTTTTAGCCAATTTCCCTTCCCTACGCCTAACGTTAGCTAAAGACTAAATGCTATGGACATGGTTCGGGGCCGATTTGCTTTTTCATTTTGATGTCTCTAGTCCCTAGAGGTCAAACCACTTTTTGTTCTTATTGTTATATGTGACTGTGATAAGTTTAGGCCTAATTAGAGTTTTTTTATGTAGGCTACTTTTTGGCCCAAGTTAGTTTATAAGTTTGTGTAGTTTGTGGGCTCTAAAACAAATTTTGGAAACACATTTCAGGTGTTCTTATTAGGCTATTTTCCTATAGGCCTATTTTGAACACTTTGTTCCCTGGCACTTTTGGGGACCCTTGCCTAATTTGACTCAGAAATATATCATAAGGCCCAAACCTAACTTAGCCTAGGCCTACCTATGACTTTGTGTTCTTATGTGCTTTAATGTGTTAACTTACCTAGGCCTATGCCAGGCTATCTCAAACGTGTTTTCTCTCTAGCACTTTGGTAAAAATTTAAGACTCAGGCCACAGCTGAAACGCACTTCCTGTACTTAGTGTTAAAAGTGTAGCCTACCTTATAAAATAAAGGTTTTGGAGGATAATAGGCTGCACTTTACTTGACGTCCTACACTCATTCGAATGAAGATATTGATCGATATATCGATTAATCGATTGCTTCATTCGATATATCGTTTGGTTAGTTAGGTAAGGTTAACCTAACCTAAACTAACCAAACGATAACTTACTATATCGAATGAAAATATCGAATCGAAAAAACAATTGAATGAGTGTAGGACGTCAAGTAAAGTGCAGCCGGATAATTGAAAATCTGAAAATTCCAGCCCCAAATTAATATTGACCGAATTTAACCCTCAAGCTGGCATGCGCCCGATAGGCTATCTGGCGATTTATGCCGCGGTCAAAATGGCAGTGCCCGATGTCACGGAAATTGCTGATTTTTGCACGTAAATGGATCAAATTTCACCTAACTTAAACACAAAAGCCTTACTTAGTAGCCTACTTAACTTAAATTTGGTTCAGAAATGAATGAGTTACCGTAGGCCTCATTTTAGCGAATTTCCCATATAGGGAATAAGCTATTACCGTAGTACTCATGGTAAGACCTGGACTCGGGACAGATTTTTTTTTTCGTTTTGAGGTCCCTGGAGACCAAAAACACCATCCGTTCAAATTCATATATATATATATATATATATATATATTTATATATAGGCTATATTTATATATATATATATATATGTGTCCGATAGCGCGATAACTCGAGCAAAAATGATCCGATTTTGATAAAATTTGGTACAAACGTGTAAACTTACGTTTATTTGAACGAGTTCGCGAACCAGCATGATCGGACCATGGGAACGGGGGTTTATGGGGGGTTTTATGGGGTAAAAATGGGTTTTTCCCATTTTTGACCCAAAAAACATCAAATTTTGCAATTTCTTTCTCAACTATTTTGTAGAGCTTAAAAAAACAAATAATTTAGTATATTGAAGCGTTATAATGCGCCTAATGGTTACGAATAAAATTCCAAAAAATTGTTAATTTAAAATTCCCATGTTATTCTTATGGAGAATAAGTAAACTGTTGTAGTTTGCTTGTTTATTAACATATTTTGCCCAAATTTGGAAAATGTTGTTATTTCTTACTAACTATTAACATTTTACATAAAAAACACTTTTACCCTCCCTGTTGCAGCAAACCTAAGTATGTGTTAAACTGATTCTATTTAAATAGGGATAAATGTGATATTTTTAAGGAGGCATTTTAGTGTAAATCCAATCAGGCAAATGGAAATTCGCTTAGTCTGCAGGTTTGCTGCAGCGGGGGTATTTTTTAGGTTTCTTTTGACGATTGTAATGAACTTTGTACATTAGTTTTAACTAAACGACAATAAGTTAAATCATTTAATTTAATTTGTCGATTGATGTGCATTTCAACTAGCCTACTTGGGCTACGGTACTGGTAACTTAACTTAGACTATTTAACTTCTAGGATGCCTTTGGTAAAACTTAAAACTCTATGAAAATAGCGAATCAACTGACAACATTGTCATGATGACGCAGTCACGTGTTAACGTGTTTCACAGTGCGGCAGGCATTCCAACAGGCGCTTGCCAATCGGCACGGCACCGTAACAGAGAACCTCCAAAAGTTTAGCCTTTAAGTTAAGTTTGGCCAAAAGTTTTATAACATTTCTTTGTCCGAAGTCAGTGTGACAAATTATTTTGCGAAATGTGTATGCACTACCGAACTGTATTACATGCAGTAAAAATAAATAAATATATATAATAAGTACTGTATAGGCTAGGCCTATAACTTATATTTATTTATTTTTACTTTATCGTGTAGGTGTGACTTAAACTCAATCGTGTGAGTTTAAATGGGTATATCGATACTCGGCCGTTGTTTCGAAACAGCGACAAGTCAGTGGCGGATCCAGAGGGGGGGGCGACCGCCAAAGCTTATGGAGCGGTCGCCCCCTTCGCCCCCCCTCTGGATCCGCCACTGACTGTCGCTGTTTCGAAACAACGACCGAGTATCGATATACCCATTTAAACTCACACGATTGAAAGTCGCGCCTACACAATAAATCGTCGATTAGCGTTTTTCGGATGAAATGCGAACAACAATATATTGTTCCATAGCACTTTTCGTGAAAAAGGCGCACAACGATACATCGTCGCATAGCACTGAAAGGGTTAAGTGTTTTGAAGTTGTAACTTGTGGAGCATAACTTAATCCTGATAGCTTGAAAATTAGTTAGCATTTAATCGGCAACACTGGAACAAACTGGTCTTTTCTATCAATTGAGCTAGGTTCGGTTATAAAAATGGATCTAAGTTAAAGGCCTGTCATCTTTTCAGGGTAACAAGACAGCACTATGCCGGGCTTCAGTAGCGTCGGGACTTTCAAGATATTTGTCGGAAATTTAGCGGAGAAGACTGTGTCTGCTGACATTAAGCCACTGTTTGAGAAGTACGGCAAGGTGGTGGAGTGTGATGTTGTCAAGGACTATGGGTTTGTCCACATGGAGTCCGAAGAACAAGGACGAGATGCAATCCAAAATCTCAACGGTTACTTAGTGCATGGCTCTGCTATCAAAGTGGAAGCTGCTACCAGCAGAAAAGGTAAGCCTATTGTTTATCCTATGTTTTAACAACCTTTTTTTAAGTAGGGCCTGTGACAGTTGTAAATTTGAGCGGAGTGAAGCTCTTATACCACACTCCTGCCTTTGTTTGACAAATACTCCTCCTGAACGGCTAAAGCGATCTGCACAAAATTTGGCACATTCATAGTAACCGACCATGGGAAGGTGTACATTTTTAACATGGGCCTTATGGGTTAATTGGTGGTCATGACATTATATGCAAGATAACAATAAAAAAGTAAACAAGAGTCGCAACATAATGTTTGTCAAAGAATCAATTAACATAGCACATTCAAACACCGTACAGTGAAAAAGGGAAGAACAGTCAGATTAATAGAATTGAGCATAATTTACTACAAAATGATTAGCCTAATTAATAACTAGGTTAGCCGGAATTAGGCTGATGCACCATTGATTTTAAATACTCCAAATAGTCATTCCATTTATTTAAACTAAAATAGGCCTACCGCCTACCTTTGAGTTTGGATACTGCAAGTACCGGTAGTAGACTTTCCATTTACGTGAACTGGACGTACCATTAATGCACACTTTGAATAGGTACTGCAAATAGGAATTCCATTAATGCAAACCAAAGATACCATTGGGTTTGGATACTACAAGTAGACATTCCATTGGCGTGAATGAGAAGAACTAATAACTTTGGATACTGCAAACAGGCACTCCATTTATATGAATCAAATGTTCCATTGAATTAGGATACTGCAAGTAAACAATTCATTTACGTGAACCCGATGTACCATTGACATGTCTATCGCGATGGACAGTCGCAGGAGAGAGAAGGATAGTGCGTAGACCGCGTCTTCTCGACTCTTCTAATCTGAGGACTAACCAACCATCCCCCAGGTTCGGTGGTTCTACGTAAGTCACACGGAATGACGACACCCCTTGTCAGCAGAACAATTAGGCTAGGTCACGCATTCCATGCCACAATCAAATCAATCGAACGTGATGTAGCAATTGATGTACCCGATACTTTGGACACTCGCCAAACCCCAAGTAAACTGCAATAGTATGCTGGCTAGCGGAGTTGCGACACGCTTCCACTGACCTATTACCAAGGGCGGTCCTGGGGGGGGGGGTCAGGGGGGTCATGACCCCCCCCCCAAAATATTTTATAGGCTATATAGATAAACTATTATACCAGGGGAACTTTAATAATTTTTATTGCAAATCGTTGTGAATCGGTGAACGAATGGACTAATCACAAACTCTAACCCAAACCTCGGGATCGTTCGAGTCTGAATATTTTTTGTGCGTTATAAAAAGTAGGGAAGATCGGCAGACGACGGACGCTTTCAGCCATATACAGCAACGGCAGTGTGCGATTAATTCCCGGCACAACAATGGGCACAACCACATAAACAATGCACTAAAACTTTATTTTCACGTTGACCCCTTGTAAAATTCCACTGGGGTGGAAAAAAATTAGAACACTGAGAACCAACTCTTCAGGCGGTAGCAGTGACGGGACGCCGACGGCAACGTTATTTGGGTAGTGTACTTTGTGTAGGTTAACTGTTGCTTTCTGGGCAGGTATAATGCAGTCGTGTTGGGTGCAAGTTCTTAAACACTTCTTAGATAAAATAAGTTCTCTGGTTCAAAATCTTGGTCTGATTTTGGACAATTTCTGTTTAGCATGCACCTGTTTACCAGTTGAAAGGGTGTTTTCGTAAATAAAACATGCTTGAATGTGTTGTAATGTTGCGGTATTCCTTTGATATTAGAACCATAAGTCTCAATAATAAAAAAACATGACATTTTAAAAGTTTATTTTTTAACATTTAAAAAATAAACTGGCAAGCTTGAACACATTAAACTAGGTCCTCAAAATACCTTAAAAACCACTAATTTTAGCACGTTATTTCCAAATTTTTCCCAGGGGGGAACCCCCAGAGTCCCCGCCTTTGCTAGGTGACCCCCTCCCCAAAATATATGTCTAGGACCGCCCTTGCCTATTACTACTACCGGCAATAACCAAAACTTGGTTTTGGGCTGGTATCCATAATCAAACAAGAAATATGGTTAATAAAATGGCCTGGCCGTCATATAGTCACTACACAGTATTATGTAGGCCCAATGTTGTTATGGGTTTTTTTTTTATTTTTTATACAATGTTGGATTAACCGATGTTTTACTCAACAGTACTACCTATGCTACTTAAGTTAGCTAATTGTGTTTTAATCAGGTCAAACCTCAGTCTAGGCTACATTGGGTACAATGTTTCTTTTAACCTCGACTTAGCGAATTGCAACCTAACCTCAATAATAAACCTCGTTTTAAGGAAATCCTTGATATAACGAATATTTAGTTTGGTCATTTAAATTTTGTTTTACCCACGGTAGACTGTGTTTTGTTTATTATAAACTGGTATCCAAAAAGTTTAGTTAAACTTTTATGTATCTTGTTCTATTTTGTTTGTAGGACCCAACACACCAACGACCAAGATCTTTGTTGGTAATCTGTCTGACAATACAAGAGCCCCACAGGTACGCCAGCTGTTCGCCAAGTATGGAACTGTCGTTGAATGTGACATCGTCCGCAATTACGGATTTGTGGTAAGTGCATGTTCTTACAAGAGCTGCAATTGGTATTGTATCTTGCATCTTACAAAATACAATCGATTTATTAAGGTATTGTTCAATATCATGGTGATTTTGACATAATAAACACTAACTACATGTTTGCTTATTGTAGCACATTGACTCTACCGATATAAACAAGATGGTGGAAGAGCTGAATGGGACAATGGTGGATGGACAGCCGATGAAGGTGCAAGTGTCGACCAGCAAAGTTCGTCAGCGGCCAGGAATGGGAAACCCAGAGCAATGTTACAGGTGTGCTTCGTATAATATTTGTGATCTATAATTTTAGGCCATAACTGTGTAAAACGTGTTTTACTGTAACTCATGAATGTGTCAAAATTTCACTGGTTAAGGACCAGTAACTTAAATTACTTTTATTTGAAACCTCAAAGTTTTGACAGTTAAGTTTATGAACTTTTATTAAATAACTGAGCTTTTGAACTTATCCTATGATATTTAATGTGGTCTTAAAAAAGTTGATATTTCATCCATATAAGATGGTAAACCTACAGTCGGGACCACGAAAGTCTGCAGTTGAGGAAGGAGCCTATTTACCATGTGACATCGAAGGAGCCAATGAGGACAGTGCGGTGTTGCCAAATCTAATAATACCAGCTGATTTGAATATTGTTTAGTATTTTAATTAGTGTCGTCAACGGGCAATATGGCAACGTCGCACTAGCCTTGTCTTGTGATAGACTCTCGCCAACTGCAGACTCTCGTGGTTCCGACTGTAGTATTTTTTTACTATATAGGCCTAAGGGTAAATCTAGAATCCAAGCTTTTTTTAATGTATTCCATCAAGTACCTGTAAGTCTGAAAGTGTGAGTTTTTTCGTAAGTCTAACAGTTCCACCGTGTGATGTCGTAGGTGCGGCCGCGGCGGCCATTGGTCTAAGGAGTGTCCCAAGACTGGGTAAGGAAACCCTTCTTTCGCTTGTCGGTTTTAATTTACTTTCACTTCGGTACGGTATAGTAGATTTGGTTTGTTTTTCTGCACGATTATTTAACTAAGTGGGTCTTCACGTACAATTTTAATTCCTTATAATTTTTTTATAGGTCAAATGTTTTAAGTTGACACTAACAAAAAGAGCACTTGTGCTGCTTAAAGCACATGGTAGGGCAGAGATAGCATCCTAACTATTTAAAATAAGTTTGCCTTGAAGTGACTTTGTGCTGTAAGTTTGTCTGTTAAGATTATTACTAATCTTGTTTCTTTTATCAGTTTTTTTTAAAGACAGTTCTTCATTTAACTTTTATGATAATAAATAAGATATGCAAATGATAATTGTATGAATTTTCTGTGGTAGTTGTTCACTTAAAGTCCCTCCAGAGCTTCTAGATAAAACATTGTTTAGCATTATCACCATGTTTCAGAATGGGCCCTGACAGAGGGTACTTCAGAGGCAGGATGGGACGAGACCCGTACCCTCCTCCACCTCCCCCACCATTCCTGAGAGATCGTATGCTGACAGGTGGATTTGGCAAGGTTTGTTGGTGTTGTAGCAATGAATTTTGGATACTGTAGTAGACATTCCATCTACTTCCACTACATACCAGCTTTCGTCCATTTTTTTAAAATAAGAAAGAACATAGTTGAATTAACCAGTCGTAGAGTGTGCTATTGTCTAAATATCTCTTTTCTGACTTGTTAGCGAATTTCTGTTTTTGGAATAACTATTACCGTAAGACCTGGACCCCGGACTGATTTTTCACTCTGACCCTTAAAGCCAAATCCTTTTAAATGCATTTTTATATACAGGGTGGCTGGTCATCAGTGTTACAAAAATTTTTTGGCGTAAGTACAAAGTAAATGCAGTGTAATGATGCATATAAAAGGTTCCAAGTCCAAAAATTAGCTTCCCAAAGAATTATTTTATGTTTTTCAAAAATAACTATGTTTTCAAACTTAATACAGCTATTTCTCAATTACCTGTAAATGGATTTGAGTAGACAATGTCATTTTCGTGTTCTACATTAAATTTTGAATAAGAATAATATAAAATGACGGAGGATCAGTTGTAAAAACTCCATTGTAAATAGATTCAAAGATAAAAATTAAGATGTTTGAAAAAAATTTAAAAAACATTGGTCCATTGTATTTGTTCACACCCTGTATACAAGAAAGTGTCCGAATATGTTAAAAACTGCGCCATTTTATAAGCTTTCCAACCATATGCTACACTATTGAGGTTTAGATATTCTGTTGTTTGTTTTAGTGGTTTGAATACCAGAAAACAGGGTGTCTTTAACATTTAAAACATAGAAAGCCGGTATGTATTAAGCAAAAGTTGTATTTTTATTTCAGCTTTAGCAGTAAAAACAGTAAAAAAGTTCCCTGTTTTCTGGTATTCAAACCACTAAAACAAACAACAGAATATCTAAACCTCAATAGTGTAGCATATGGTTGGAAAGCTTATAAAATGGCGCAGTTTTTAACATATCCGGACACTTTCTTGTATACAGGGTGTGAACAAATACAATAGACCAATGTTTTTTAAATTTTTTTCAAACATCTTAATTTTTATCTTTGAATCTATTTACAATGGAGTTTTTACAACTGATCCTCCGTCATTTTATATAATTCTTATTCAAAATTTAATGTAGAACACGAAAATGACATTGTCTACTCAAATCCATTTACAGGTAATTGAGAAATAGCTGTATTAAGTTTGAAAACATAGTTATTTTTTAAAAACATAAAATAATTCTTTGGGAAACTAATTTTTGGACTTGGAACCTTTTATACGCATCATTACACTGCATTTACTTTGTACTTACGCCAAAAAAATTTTGTAACACTGATGACCAGCCACCCTGTATAGCCTACATCCATTAACACAATAACTCACATACAAATCTTTACGTTTTAAGATATTTTATACAAAAACTTGAATTGATTGAAGTTTGATAACTCGCGTACAAATCATCCGATTTTATGACGTTTGGTAAATATGTACAAACCTGTGTTTATTCCTAGGAGTTAGTGAACCAGCATGATTGGATTGGGATAAAGGATTTTACAGGGGAGTAAAAAATTATATTTTTCCCTTTTTTGACTCTCAAAATATAAAATTCTCCAATTTCTTGTAAAACAAATTAGTAGACCTTAAAAAATTAGTCTGTCATCGAAGCATTTTAAATGTCTCATAGTTATGGGAAAATTGTAAAAGACTGGAAATTCAAAATTTTACCTTGCTGTAGCAGCAAACCTAAGTACTTGCCAATCCTAATGTTTATTTAAATACCCCCGTCGCAGCAAACCTGCATACTAAGTGAATTTCCATTTACCCGGCTTGATTTCTACTAAAATATTCCCTATAAATTTTCAGATTTGTTTCCTATTTAAATAACATTAATTTTAGTGAGTACTGTAGTTAGGTTTGCTGCTACGGGGAAGATGTTGAGGTGTGTTTTATCAATTGAAATATTGATAGCTTAGTATGAAATAAACCAAATTGCCGAATTTGATTAAAATATATCCATAAACAAGCAAACTAGAACAGTTTATTTATTCTCCATAAGAATAAAATGGGAGTTTTAAATTTACAATTTTTTAATTTTTCTCCGTAGTCAATGAACATTTAAAAACACTTCAATATACTAAATTATTTGTTTTGTAAGCTCTTCAAAATGGTCTGGAGAGAAATTTAGAAATTTAAAGTTTTTAGGGTCAAAAATGAGAAAACCCCATTTTTACCCCGTAAAACCCCCCATAAACCCCTGATCCCATGGTCGTGCCAAATTTAATCAAAATCGGATCAATTTTGCTCGAGTTATCGCGCTAACGGACACATATATAAATATATATATATGAATTTGAACGGATAGTGTTTTTGGCCTCTGGGGACCTCAAAACGAAAAAGTAAATCGGTCCCGGGTCTAGGTCTTACCATGAGACCTACGGTAATAGCTTATTCCCTATATGGGAAATTCGCTAAAAAGGAATAAATATGACGTGTTTAAGGACAAAATAAGTAAAAATCCAATCAAGACAATTGGATCAGCTTAGTCAGCAAGTTTGATGCAACAGGGGTAAAAAGTTGGAGTCTTCCCTTATTCGACAGAAATCAGTAAATTAAATCAGCACAATCTGGCGATTGCTAAAATCAACTACGTCCATTTTGGAAAAAAAAAAAAAAAAAACTGGTGGCAACTTTGTTGGGATGTAATATCTACTTCTATCAAAAATGTTGTGTCTTGAGTGATGCAACAACTAGCCTTTATCAGTGATTTAAGAAGAGTTGTAATTAACTGTAATTACGTTGTGACGTGTGATTTATTTATCCTGGGTTCATGGCATATTCTATCCTCAGGACAGCTACTATGACAGGTACTACGACCGCCCTTCAAGCAGGTTTGATGACCGTGACTCGTTTGATCGCCGCCTGCCCCCCCTCCCCCCAAGAGACATGGGCCGACGAGACTTTCTGCCTCCCCCTCTACCCCCCAGAGAACCTCTGCCCCCTCTTGGAGGTCTGAGAGGTCCTCCTCGGGACTCTTTCGAGAGGTCTATGTTCAGCCGCCGCTCACCTCCTCCTAGCGCCAGATTTGGGTGAGTTTTACACTCAATGGGCTTGTGCTTTTGTGTAACTAACTATTTAATATTGTACAAAACTCATAATTTTTTTATTATAGCTGTTAGCTATTGTCATTAGCACCCGTAGCTGCTGTTTTAAAAACATTTGCCTTATAAAGGAAGAATTAAAGAGAACTTTTAAAGTGAAGAGAGAAAACAGAAAAGGTAGGAACAATTGGGTGGTAGGAGGATAGAACATTGGCTGTCATGATAGTGAGCTAAGAAAGTGTCCAAGAGAGGTAGAGATGGCCGAAGCCTGAGAAGAAAGAGTGGAAAGAAGCCTGGCATATAAGAAGTATTAGACTTGACAAACGGGTTGAATTGTTTGAGGAACTATTAGTGTAAAGTTTGTATTCTTGTTAAACAAACAATATGTAGTTTTATCTAGATCTAGCAGGTATATGCTATATTTTTATTTTGGTTGTGTTTTCAGCAGTGCAATGGATGACTACTATGCCAGAGACACATATGACGACCGCAGGTAAGTAATTGTGCACTGAATGTTGCATCTAATAATAGACACACCTGACTTGTGGAGCCAAGTAGCTGTTGAGAACTTGAGTTATCATGACATAACTGTAAAAGTTTAAAATGGGAATCCTAGTTGTAGCCACGCTTTGTAAATATTTTACAATTTCTTGCTACTTTTTATGCTATTGGGTTAAAGATCTGACCAGACAAATGACTGGTACCTATTCAAATTGTTTTGTAATTTGACTTCATTTCATTGTGCATACACAAGCAAAACTCTAAATTCTTTGTTGTCCGATTCAAAATCAGACGCTTGTTACTAAATGCTGCTTTGCCCTGCAACTTTGGTGGAGTATTTGGCTAACGATTTTACTTTTATTAATTTCTCATTTTAAGTTCAATTTCCCACAATGAATAAATTTCTTTCTAATTATATTTTGAAATCCATGTCTACATGTTTCACTGTTATTGTAGCATCGGCAGAGTAGCAAAGCCTTAACTAGCAAACAAACCTAGATAATCCTATATGTTGCATGATAGGCCTATCTTTATTGAATTCGCAGCTATGTTTGCTAGTTGCTCTATGTTTTGTTACCCTGACGAAGTATTATTGGCAGTGAAACTTGTAGGCCAATAGAACATCCACCATCCATTTGAATTACATGACAAAGTAAAGAAGGTACCGTTATATTAATAAATATATTTTCTACCAGCTTGTCCCTTAAATTTATAATTTAAAATCAAAGTTCTTCTATGACAGATGTTCCTTTAATTTTTACCTAAAATTTTGAAAAAAGTTTAAATGGTGCTGTGTTAAAAAATGTGCTATATTCTTAGTCATTTAATATTTTATGCACCTTATTCATTTGTTTGAACCCCTCTAAGTAAAGTTCCTTGCATAAATAGCTTGCACGAGTGTAGACCATTCTAGATTTTCTCATTTGCACGGTTGTTATTCATTGCATTTTGAACATACTACTTAATATTTTTTGTCGTGATTTTTATAAAAATTAGTTACGTAATATAGGCCTACTAATTTTACAACTGAGGAAGACAGAAATTAGTAATTTCCAGTAAATGTTCACCTACTAAATAAAATTCTTCTGAATTAAATGCCGTAGTAGGAATTGCTTGGAAAACAAAATGCTGATTTTAATTTTCTTGAATGATTGCCAAAGTTGTTGAGTGGGTTGCAAGTAGCTTTTTTTATGAATTCTCTATTTGCCTCCAATAAATCTTACAATGCCTCTGCGATTTTCAAAATATATTTTTCTACCATTAACACAGTCTGCCTAGTGGTGTCATGACAGCCAACCGATAAGGTTAATTATTTTATGTCAAATTGTATGTGCAGAGAATATTCTGGTCTAGAATTCCTTCACTTTTCCCCACATTGGGCAACACTTGTTGCTAACCCCATTTTAGGAGAGAGAGCTGGTGTAGTGGTTAGAGCGCGAGGCTTAGTTTCCTAAGGTCCTGGGTTCGAATCCCGCCAAATCACCAATGGATTTGATCTAAGTGATAATGCGGCAACCCCTAGGTCTAGCCTGAAGTAATGTGAAAAACAATCCTGGGCTTGAGCCTAGCGTCCTAGAAAAAAAACCTATTTTGGATCCAGTTTTGCAATTGAGTATTAGATGATTGTTGACAATATCTCTTACTCAGATCAAATTTATCAGTAACAGGTTGCATTAAAATTTGTAACTGATACTTCTGTTAGATAGCCTATATCAATGATGGTAACAGTTTTAAGTAAAACATATTTAAAATGTGGCCTTAACTTTGCCATGGCTACTATCAATTGACGGGTAGTATGGACAGGGAACCTAAGAACCTACTCAGGACAACTTTGGCAATTAATGTGTATTAACAACTATCTCCTTTTAGGGTCGAAATTAACTAAAATTTAATCTTTCATATATATAGAAAAGTTGTGCTTAAACTGTTAATAACCGTGTTGTTTTCAGGCCCCAATTCTTTTGGTTTAAATAAAATCACTAAATCATTGAATATTTCTTGGTTAATTTTTGTAGGGTTTTACTAACTTTATGGTCATGGCTTGCATTTGTTAAGAGTGTAGCAAGAAGTCAGGATGGAAAGTAATTTTCTTTAAAGATTTTCTGGGGAAAGGCCTTAAATAAGAGGTTTTTTTTTTACTTTAAAAAAACATGCAGTGGCTTTTTTGGGTTTCAACTAAACGAATCTTTAATCATATGCTATATGTACACCACACTATAATAATTGGCCCATTGAACAATTATCCATTGAAAAAATGTTAAATTATAAAATCATTCAATATTACTATGTCCATCCATACTTTCCATCCTGATAAGGATTATCAAGGCAGGCAAAATTAGAGAAAAAAATTAACCCCATCAATAAATTACGCCTTATTGTTAAGATAAGGTTGTTTAATTTTTTATCTAATAGTGCCTGTCCAAGCTGTTTTAAAAGGTTGTGCAACAGATATTGGTTGGTTGTATTTGATTTGTTTTTAAATATTTTCCAATGAGCCAAATGCTTGAAATTTTACATGAAAGTAAATGTTTTGAATTCTTACAAAGAGAAATTTCTCCCAGATCTAATTCAAGTAGTTTAATACCTAATATTGCTGCACAATCTTGTTTATTATTTGCCGAGCCTGGTCACTTCAGTCTCACAGGTATCTGTGTTGACCCTGTGACCTGGCCTCCCCTCCACCCTCTGATGTTGTGTTTAATGCTGTGCCTCTGTGTGTCAGAATTGGTCTGCGTGGAGCGTCACCGCGCCGTTATGCGCCTTACTAACCGACGGTTGATCACGTGACGGTAGTTTGCGACCGTGCGTCGTCGTGCCGCCACATTTTATCCTAAGACGTCATCACTCTAGTGTAATGTAGCTCCGTACATTATTCGAACAGTTCGGTACCGGCTGGTAAGTCGTATCCGGACAATGTAATTATATCAGTGTATGTTTTTCTGTATTTTATAAATGTATCGAGCAAAATGTTATTTGCCCTTAAGCTGTCTGATCAAATAAAATAAACTTGTTTACTGTCGAGTGTCGATAAATTCCTAATTCCCACGAACAACTGTATAACTGTCGGCCAGACGGAATCGATTACGATGTACGTCCGCCGTTTTGAAGGTAGTATTTCGCTTCACTTTGGATTGCGAAAGTATGTTAGATATATTTAAATTTCTTAAATACTAAGTTAGCCTGATTTTCTATTTCGAATTTCTGTATACAAAGTTATTTTCAGTTGCGATAACTGTTGGTTATTAATTATTTTAATTTGCGCTAATTTTAAGTAGGTTACTAGATAGTTTCCTTTTTACGATAATCTGAAATATTAAAACATTTCAGTTTGCGATCATTGTCTTTTCATGAATCATTTCAGTTTTGCGATTATAGTAAAATCTTGTTATTAAATTGACGAGGATAGTAGGCTAGAGTTTCTCTTTCGTATACACGAAATCAATAACCAATTTCACAGCATTGTTATTTTCCAATAGTTTTAGAGATTTTTTTCCACTGGATTTCATTTTTGTAAATAATCTTTGTATGGTCAAAATCATGTTTATACTAATGTTTTTTTTATTAAAATGTTTTATTAGTGGTAAAAATTGATTTTTATTTGTATTTCTCCCTCCATGAATTATGATAATATTTTACTGTTTTTTTACTTAAGGGGATACGCCACTATCTGTAGGCCATATTTTTAATTTTTTTTACATTTTCCAAAAGTTGCATTTTTAGATAGGCCATTTCAATGTGAACATTTAGCTAAAATTGTTTGCCAATCTGACAACTCCTTCTAGTATAAAAAAATAAAATATAAAACGCCGCAACCAGCAATTTAACAAAATTTTGGACTTTTTTTTTGTTCCTGATATTTACACTTTTAATTGTGTATCATAATTATGTATTATGAAGGTATAAAGTAGGGTACATTTATTTAAAACAAAATAAGTACTTTGCTATTTTTATATAAAATATAAAATAATAAATTAGTGTAGTTATGGGAATTTTTCTCCTGCCAACCACCTGTTACATCACCTGCGATTATCTCAATACCGTGTTTTTTAGGTTATTATTGTACAAATGTTTGAATAACTCCATTAGTACTATACTTATAGTATTCAAATTTTCACCAGACCTTCTTTATATAGTAATAAAGGATTGTGTGTATAGTAAGCCCTATAGCATTGCATTTACTAAAAATTATTATGTTTACGCAAAAATTTTAAAAAAAATTTTCAGCTATTTTTATATTTTGAATAAAAGGTGTCCTAAAAATTTTGTTTTTTTAGTTACCATAACGATTATACACAGAATTACTCATTATTTCATCCTGAATCAGGAAATAAATAGAATATGTCATTCCGATCAGTAGTTGAAAAGTTATTCTCAATAACGACTTCTTAAAAATTTTGGTGAAAAAAAGCTAAAAACGCATATAAATTTAGTAAATAAGTTATAAATTCAATATTTTTGTACCTAAATCTTCTAATTAAGTCTAGTATAAACAAAATATACTAACTAGGTTGACAAAAATAAAAAAATAAAAATAAAGTTGGAGATAGTGGCGTATCCCCTTAAGTACACAAAAAAAGAATAGGTCCATTTCTGCAACACTAGATTTGCAATTGAGGAATTGTGGTTGGTTATTAGTAACATACACTACCTGTGTCAGTTGAATTGTGCACATTTAAGACTGATTATGTCATGCCTGTTAGCTTTTAAATAGGAAGTTATCGAGTTGTAAAAAACATCTGATATAGATTAACAATATACCTAAGGGTAGGGTGGCCTACTTGTAACCATATTGCATTTTTTAATGTCTTGGAGCAGAGAAGGTAATCTGTATCATCCTAAACTGAAAGTATTTCTTCCTCAACCAGTTTTAAGCCTCTACTTGTGAGACGAGAGTGGTATAAAACCCTGTGAGATTATTAGGTAGCCTTATCTGCATTTCAATCTCAAAGCATTTGGTTGTGCAAAAGAACCCACTCTTAAATGGATCTAGTAATTGCATGCTCATTAAACATTATTACAAATTTCTGATTAAAATATGCAGTTTTCAGCATAATTTTAACCATAACAATTGATTGGTCCTTTCAAGTTTAATAGATTATTATATGGTATGGTTAAAACCATAATCATGCTGGTGATTTCCCTGGGTTGTACATTTATCATTTTCCACCTCTATAAACTATTCATAATTTCATAGTTCCAAGTTTGCGAGACTAGTAAGATGTGTCAGTTCTTATAAATATTTGGCTAATATCTACAGGGTGGTCATAAATTATTGGACACATTTTAAGATTATATAAACAAATAACCAAGCAACTTAGAAACATGGGAACTGTTTCATTGAATAGCAAATTTAAAATAGTTTTATACAGTAACTGCAAAACAATAATTATATAAATGTCAGTAATAATATAAAGTGGTTATAAAAAGGTTTGCAAAAATCATTCAAACAGTGAGTGTAAGTTATATTTTTTTTTTTCAATGACTTGTGTTTTGGCATAGTCAGCATAGAGCATGACAGAGTTAGCATGGCAAAACCAACAATGGACCTTTCTACACCAGCTGTGTATGACATTTGTTGAATCAAACCTTAAACTTGTGTAACAAAATTACTAGTGTGAAATAAAAAACAAAGTCTTTGGTTTCATGAAAGCAAATCTGTAATAACATTTCAAAGAAGGCTCCGTTTAGAGTATGGCCATAATTTTCCATGTAACAATTCTATAAAATGGTAATACAGACAGTTCATACGACTGGAAAGTGTCTAAAGGATCCTCATCTCAGAAGAACATAACTTGCAATAATAGTTTAGGTGATTTTTTTCAGTCTTTTTATAACTACTTTTCATAATTGCTGAAATTGTTTAAATTAATTGTTTGCAGTTACTATATAAAACTGTTTTAAATTTGCTATTTAATTAAACAATTCCCATGTGTCTATGTTGCTTGGTTATTTATTTAGTTTATTTTAAAATGTGTACAATAATTTATGACCACCCTGTATAATAGTGTTTTGTTAAAGCTGCACATTATCAAAACTGTATTACTTATTTATACCTGGACTTGACCTTTACCTATATTTTGGGTTGATGAGTCGTTTGTAGTTGTGTGTAATATTTTGGTAAGTAACATTTCAACAGCTTTTGGGTGTCTTAGAGTGTCACCAAAATTAAGTACTTCCACTGAACAATTAATCTTGAGATGAAAAAAGAACACAACTGCTGTCAATAAGTAATTCTTTCATACCCTCTACTTGTAATGCATACAATTAAAATCATACTTTTTATTGGATGCTTGTTAGTTTCCAAGATAGTGAAAATACTGAGTGCAGATGTGCACCTTGTACAAACAAACTAAAAGTAATCAGAGGCAACTGTATAAGGGGTTTCAAGAAATCTAAAGTAATGTATAACATTTCAAATAGTTTATTTAACTCAATCAAACCTAATAAAGTAAACTTAGAGGAACAAGCTGGTCTAGTGGTAGAGCTCGAGGCTTCGAAGCCCGAGGTCCCGGGTTGAAATCCCGCCAATCATCAATGGATCTATGTGATAATGACATGACCCAGTTTTGGTCTAGAACTTATCGTCCTAGGATGTAAAGGTGGGACATAAAATTTAAAAAAACTTAAAATTGACTTAGTCTGCAGATATGCAAAGGCAGTATAATAAAATGGTGCAGTGTTATACTTGCAATAACCCTATCATAAAAACCAATTTGGCCTGACTTGGTTAGTGAATAATTGCTTGTAAGAGGAAACATACCGAGCTCATGTATTTTTGGAATATGTAATATCAGTCTACAAATTTCAATACCTACCATATCAAATACGTGACGGTAGTAGATTCACATTGGCACTAGTGAGCAGAGTGTTGTAGAACGCTCATCGAGGTTGTTGGGGAAAAAATTAGGCTTTACAATATATAGGTTCTTTGAAGGAAAGCAGAGTGAAAGTTCTCGTCCCACTACACCACTGCTAGTGAAGACATAACATCATTGACATAAAATTGTAGCTTTCAGCCTAACATCTGTTAGCCAGCATCCAGTCAACAGAACTTAAGCTGAACAACATGTGTTTTAAAAACAAGCTTACGACAATCCAAAATAAACTGTATCAGCAATCTGACACAACTTTCTCCCATTAGCTTGTGAACAACACAACCTTTACCATGGGTAAGCGGTGGTAATTTGATAATTTATTTATTTTTCCTACAGTTACCTAACAATGTACATGTTCTCTCACTGATTTGAGAAAGCAAAGTGGCCAATTCGCTCATCAGTGAGACAATGTTAACATTGTCCATTGTCTCACTCCAGATTTGCGACGTTGCACGTTTCTTTACCAATTTATTTTGTTTTATGATGACTGTAGGAAAAATATTATGTGCAGAGTGTAAAGTGCAATCGCCTCACTCGCCTACGGCTCGTGAGTAAGGATTTCTTAGAGTGAGGCAATTGCTCACTAGTTGCACAAATAACTATTTTTTAACCAATTTTCTGCTGTTTTATGGGAAAATGACATGTTTCATTAACCTTTTAACTGTAATTTTTACAGCAATGGTAGTTACAGTATAGTTCAAAATTTAAAGGACTAAGCGTGCTAAATTTTTACAAAAACTGTTCAAGCCAATTTAGAGAAAATCTTGTTCTGTCATTTTATAAGTTTTTATGAAAAAAAATTTCCCATTAAAATAATACCTCATTAAAATAATACCTAATTGAAATAATGTCTGGAGATACTATTAATTACTATCTACATACCAAATTTCATCAAAATCTGACTAAAGGTCGTACACACAGAGACACCACTTAAAAACCACTTTTTGAGTACAGGGGGACCCAAAACGGATATATCCACTCAAAGTCAAAAATGTTGACAAAAACAATTATTTCTCTATATACTATAATACTATAATATAATAGTTATTGGCTATTTTTATATGTTTTGTGTAAGTGTTTAGTAAATATGACAATGACAACGTTCGCCTGAAGATGATCCCATGAGGATCAAAACCCGGTCACCTTTCAATGTCACAAGGATCACTTGATAGCAGTTAGTTGCACCAGTACACATATTGATCAGTGATTCGGATGCTTCACTCAAACAATATGAAATAGACCAGTACTTGACAAAAGCTGGCCTAGGGTGGGGGATGGCAGGAAGGTCACCGTGTTTCTGGAATGTGGTGAATGAGCAAGAGATAATAATATAATATATACAGTGACTGTAACAGTATTTATTAATGTTTTTCATATAAATGGTCACATGTTTTTGCTCAACTGAGCTCTACCAGCCCGTTGCCCAAGGCCACTTTGATGTTCCCCTCGGCCAATAGCCTGGTTTTGTTTTTTGATGCGACAGTTCTCCAAGACCCGGTGCCTGCAGGTGGCATGAAATAGCCAGGCTGGGAGTAACTCCCTACCACTCCTGTCAACAATTCCATGGAGTTGGTCGCTGCAGCTGTCACGCCGTCGTCTGTCGTCCTACAGCCAAGGAAGTAGTCATTGCCAGGTAAGCTAGCGTGATCCCAGGCCACGATTTTATATAAGATGCATCCTTCAAACTCACCTTGAGTTTCCTCGTAGTCTCGGACATGGCAGAGTTGAGATTTTCCCAAGGGACCCACGTTTAGTCTAACGCGGTATTTGACGTATTTGATCTCCTGCTCAAAATCCACACATTCACTGTACGGGTCAAATCTGACACAGGCTATGTTTTCAAAGTCAAACTTTTTTAGTATTGCTTGTAAAGCTTGGTTCAAATGTTCGCCCATCTTCCCATGGAATTTTCCTGCAAATTGGCCACATCCTAGGCCCGGAAGTACTAATAATGCTTTTCTACCTTCTTGTTTTGCTGTTTCATTCGCATACAGAAAGGCTGGGAGGAGTCTTCTCTCGATAACTGCGTTGTATCTCACCTGGCTTATCTGTCCGTGGTCGGAGATGTCGTCGAAATCTGGGGTTGTTGAGCGGAATCTGCTCCCATGGAGGAGTGGACCTGGGGTGAATATCAGTTTGACAGGTACTGGTGGATCGTGTGTTTTAAATGTTTTTTCGTGAACGTCCCACACTCCGTTGTCGAATGCCATGGCAGACATAGCAACAGACACGTCTCCAAGAATCCTCAACTCTGTTGGATTCCAATCTGAGCCGTCTCCGGATATTTCACTCTCAGCGAAGCAAGTGATTTTCTTGGTCAGTAGCAGTAGTTGCAGAAATTCTTCATTAGTAAGTTCAGGCAGAGGTTTTGAGTTTTGTAGATGTACTTTCAGATTAAAGCTTGGTTTAAGTTCATTTGACAAAATCTGCATCTTGTATTCTGCCAACAGCTGTGCAGTTTGATCGCTTAGCAGTAAGACATAAGATGACATTTTAGATGACATCTCTCTCCTCTTATTCTGAAAAATATATATTTTATAAATTAACTGATCCAAAACCCATTAAAATTGTGTTCTAAGAGTAAAATACAAAATCACCAGTAAATTAACTAATGTTGTGAGAGTGTCAAGACAATGAACAGATTGGGTTACTCATGACTCAGGAAAGATTTTTTTAGTAACAAAAATTAATCCACACTATGTATAGTGGTGGGTTGTGTTTACTCTTTCCTGTGTGTATATCCATCTGCTAACTGAATCATTGGGTTTGATAAGATTAAACAAGATGGTAATTCAAGAGCTTAGAGCTTGGATTAGATAACACACAGTTTATTGATTCGATGCTTCATTATTGAGCAAAGTTGCTCTTTGAGATCCGACCAAATGCAAATTTTGTTACCACATGTAATATCGGCTGAGCATATTTTATTCTCACGAAGGTTTGTGAAGAAACAAATTACAATACACTTGTTACATTTTCATGTCCCCAGAGGCAAAAAATATCTGTTCAGATTCATATACGGGTGTCACGCAAGTAAGCAGCCGAACTCCGGGAAATGGTTCTATGGGTCAAAATTAAGAGAAAATCAAGAACATTAATTCCAAAATTGCTTCGTTAAGAAGATATCTGTAATTTTTTTATTTTCTTATTACATTTTTTTTATCTTCGGATTGTTCCAAACGATCTTTACGGAAATTGTTATGTAGTCCTATGTTAAGGTGGAAGAGACCCATGGTAGAAAAAAACTTATCTTGATCCAATTCCAACATTTCAAAAGCGTGGCCATTTAAATTTAAATCACAAAAAATAGTTGATTTTATGACAAAATCTTAAGTTCAGCATTTAAAATGTTCTATCAATCGACACGTAGTTCACACAAATTAAATAAAAATAGCTGAAATGTCATGATTTTTACTTCATTACTAACTTCAACTACTAAAAATTATTGTGATATTTCAGTTATATTTTATAGATATGTGTGTCCTGTAAACACGATTAACTCCAGTAAAAATTATCCGATTTTGAATTTATACAACTATGTAAACCTACATATTCGAATAACTTTTTTAACCACCATGATCGATATATGGGAACACGGTTTTATAAGGTAAAAATTGGATTTTAAATTTACCAATTTCTCCACCATTTGTACATGGAGAAAACTTGAACGATTGTAAATTTAAAATTCCCATGTTTACTTATGGAGAGTAAGTAAACCGTTTAGTTTGCTTGATTGTATATATTTTGATGAAACTTGGAAAATTTATTTAGGTTTATTTCATTCTAAGCTAATCACATTTTACTAATTAACACATTTAATTACACTCCCTGTGGCAGCAAATCAAGGTTACTCATTAAACCTAATGTTACTTATTTAAATATGGAATAACAAGTTTACTTAGTCTAGTCTAGAAAGCTAAGGATGACAAACTTTTGATTTAATAACATTTAAAATATTAAATACAAAAGTCAGCTATTACTTTGATTTGGTTTATATTCTGTTCTTTACTTTTCCCCTTAGTTGCTATTTTGATTCTGCAACACAGCTTATTATTAGCGTAGAGACCTTCATTTCAATAAGTAATTGCTTTGCCTCTATAATTCCTGGTAAGTGTGTTGTCACAGTTTCTTTGTAATAGATTCTAACAAAGCCGCATTATTATATGTATTCTCACCCCGGGCATAGGAACTAGTTGTTAGCATGTCTCATTTGTATTTGCTCTGTTAGTTTTTATTTATCATGATGTTACATAATATTCAAACGTCTTTATTATTTATCTATCTATCTATCTATATCTATACTTCTATACTATTATAAAGAAGAGGTGGTGTCTGTGTGTGTGTTTGTATGAGCTAATCTCAAAAACTACTGGTCGGATCGGGCTGAAATTTGGCATGATGATAGCTCACATTCCCGATTAACATATAGGCATATTTTTATCCCAAAAATCCTTCGGGGCTCCGCCCCAGTGGCTCTGGAGTTTCCCATGTTAACCTTATGAGAAATGGAATTAATGAATCTTAACAGCTGTTTCAATTAAACAAGTTGGTTCTGTTCTATGATGTTCAATAGCATTAAAAGTTACAAGGATTACCAACAGGGTGCAGCACTAGCACTATTATTTCTTTTACATTTATGACAACAGCAAAAGGTGAGTGAGCGTAGCGAACGAACTTCAACCTGGAGGCGAGTGAGCGTAGCGAACGAGCTAACCTGAAGGCAAGTGAGCGTAGCGAACGAGCTAACCTGAAGGAAAGTGAGCGCAGCGAACGAGCTCCAACCTAAAGGTGAGTGAGCGTAGCGAACGAACTTCAAAAAGAACCGAAATTTCTTAAACCATGTCCTCACTCATAACTGCTATAAGCATTTGATACTTATATGCCAACCCCGTACGAAGGACGGGTACTCTGCTAGTAATAATAATAAATGTACATGATGTTGTAAAAAGCATCAATATAATTCAAATACTATACTGATATTAAAATATAATAGTAATTAATCTGCATGAAGTGTGGAGGATAAAACACAAAGTAACTGAACAATTTAAAAAATATATTATAGTCCTAGCATTTCTTATCAGAATTACTCGTAGGCTATATCAAGGCAGATGTGGATAATTCTTTAGTAAAATAAATGATACGTTTAGTATGCATGTTACTTAAATTCTTTCAATAAGTTACCGTACAAAACTTTGTTATCTGTTTTTTTTTTACTAGAGGGCTAGTACTAAATCCCGAGACGAAGAAGGTAGGACATTGAATAAGGATGCAAAATGGGTGGTATTGTACCGACCCGGGCAGCCACAACTAATAATTAACCATATGTTTTAGTCTTTTTTTCACTACTAGTTTTTCACTTGGAAGTCGCCAAGTGTTTTGAAATGTTCGGTAAGTTATATTTTTATACTGTGTTAAGGTAGGTTGTAACTTTAAATTTAAAAGTGGTTCTTTCGTTACACCTACACCTCACCATCACACCACAGGCAAAGTCCCGATGCGAAAAGCGGATAATAGAAAATGGAATGAAGCTTGAAGAATGTGAATGCAGTGTTTCCACACGACACACGACTAAAAGAATAATTTCGCTCACTATGGGTCCAAAAATCCCGTTTAATCCCGCTTTTGAATAATGAAAATCCCGTTTTATTCCGCAAATTTTGTTTGTTCAAATCTGAGAGTTATAATATATTATACCTATCTTGTTTAAATAGTAGTTTCTTTAAACATTGCTATTATATTTTACTACAGTAATTTTATCAATTGGGGTTGTTCGCTAAAATAAAGCATACAAAATAAAACGGACGTCATAATCGAAAATCCCGTTTTCGGGACAATAATCCCGCGTATGGAAACCCTGTAGAATAACGCAAGCGCAAGCAAGGTTTATACGTACTTGTGGGAAGGGAACTCCAGTAGAGATGTGCGTAACTGAGTCCGAGAGTTCCAGAACAGTTAAGACTAAATGCCAAAAAAGACTCGTTGGGAGTTGGAGAATACTAGTAACACTAGGACTAGACATACACTGACACTAACTCTACTGACTCACTAGTATCACATACCTGTTCCGGAACAGGTATATGAGACTAGTATCATAATGGAACAGTCTCGGGTGGAACTGTTCCACGCACTTGACTAGTATAGTATGGTACATCTCTAAACTCCAGGCCGTTGGCCGAGGCCATGCACGAGGGAAATAGTGTTCTGTATCGATATTTTGGACCGATATTCGATATTTTTGACATCGATGGAAATTCACCTACATTTTCTGCCATCGGTGTTTTTGGTCGATATCGGCAGTATCGATATTTTTACTTATTAATGTCAAAAGTACCTATACATTTTAACATTTTCTTGTCAATTAAACGTCAGTAGGATAATGATGAAGTTTTTATAAAAAAATTAATTCAAACATTCCGTCAAAGTTTGAATTTCGTGAGTTACTATTGAGATCGTTACTGGTGGTAGCACGACTGGCGACCCATGATGATGAAAGCACTATAAAGAGGTGGTGGCAGAGTGTAAGTTGGTTTTGGACTTGGTTTGGTTATCGCTTAGGACTTGTGAATTTGGGATGTAGATTTTCTTTACTGAGATAAGACAGACGAGGCGACTTTGATGCTGTTTTACTAGCTTTCACTCTTGATTTGTAAATGGGGCACCTTATTTCCTACGCAACATATAGTAGGTACCTATATAACATATAACATAACATATAAAACCCCTTATTTAACATAACATGAACCCCAAATGATCTTTGTTTGCCAAATTATTTTGACACTTATTAGCAGTTTCACAGAAGTTAAAATATGCCTATGGACTGGATAGTACAAAATGATGTAATATCGATATTTCTCCAGTGATTTATGTATCGATGTATAGGAACCGATATTACTACCTTTCGATATCACAGGATCGATGGACAATAACATGAAAGAAATGACGACTTTTCCTTGCGAGTTATGCGAGTTATGTGTGACAAAAACTATACCGGCTACCACTATTACCATCCTATCGTTGAGCTGTTCCTTTTTTTTTTTGGCATTGAGGAATGAGGAGTGAAGTGACACGTTGACAAGATAACTGACAACCCCCTATGGTGGCGTACCTTGTGGGATGTCTTCAATACCGAAGAAGATATTCAAGATTTGGACGCAATCACGGAAAAAGATTATGTCGTTACCAGCATGATCACGGAAGATAAAAATTATATCTACAAGACCAAAGAAGATATACAAGATTTTTCCCTAATCGCGGAAAAAGATGATGTTGTTTCCCTGTCCATGGGAGACGATGATGATCTAAGTTTTATACGTAAGGAATATTGATCCAATTTACACACAATTCACATTCATTCACGTTCAAATTAAAATACGCAGTACCGGTAATGGTACCGGTATCATCTACATCTATACGGTATGATCTATGGAGATCATACTGGTTAGTCTATTGCAGTACTGTGGGCGATACCGGTTCAGGATACCGATTATACATTAAATGAAGAAAATGTCAAAAGTGTAAAATGTGTCCTAGAAAAATACTGTATCAAATTGAATGATATCATATTTAGATTTTCCATCCCCTTGAGTGCACTCCGTTCACAAAATTTAGCGGTTATAGGGGAAGCACTATTCCATCCCCTTCATGCTCTACCTTTGAAACAACAGCTGAAAAGCTTATAAGCTCAAACCGCCAATTAGCTGTAACCATAGACTAAGGAACCAATTACTGTAACATACTAACATACATTAAGAGAAAATGCGGTGGGGGAACCCAGAAAAACTTCCTACAAACCACATTTTTTGTGAATATGGACTGTAGTTTGTCTGTGTTCAGCTTGAAAGGGGCGTAAGGTGCTACCCCAATAACCTTCCACGAAAATAAGAAGAGATGGGTGATAAACCACCAACTCCCTTTCAGGAAGTGCGAAAAATGGTATGGCGTGATTCAAAATTATTTTACTTATTTATTCATGGCAAAATCGCCATTTGTACAATCAATTACATGCATTTAGCGGGTTGTTGGAGTGGTACCTTACTTGCTTAGCCTCATGCTTAACTGCTGTTCTTCTCCTCCGCAGTCATCAAGATTGGGGAGCCCCTATCTTTTTCTACTTTTCTTGTTTTTCTGGTATTGTTGAAGAGTTTCTGGTTTCTATTGTCTTCTGTTAAATATAGGTTCATCCAGGAATTCTTTTAGGTTGTAGTAGGGGCGTTCGAGGAGATAGTTTTTCAGTAGGGCAGAGAATTTCCTTGTGTCTAATATTTTAAAGCTGATTTGATATAGTAGACTGTAAAGTTCCATGCGTCATCTATATGTTTGGGTTCATGCAGTTTTTACAGTCTATACTGTGGTAAATTTGGATAATTTTTCTTCTGGTAAAATAGTTATGGGTTTCACAGATTGTTTTATGGGATCCAGTTTTATATCCAGGTATGGAAATGTTAATGTGAGAACTTTTTAAAGAATGGTTTGCAGTGTTCTTGATAGGTAGTGGAAATGATTTAGGGTTCTTATTGCTTCTTTTTGTAGTACAAAAAATTATTGAAAAGGTATGTACTTGCTGCACCCCCGGCAACAATTCCAAAGCGGAGGCGTGATTCTATAAGTGCTTGGTATGCAATTTTGGTTCTAGTAAAATATCGGTCAGATTTGTTATCCTTCTCATGGCATAAATTGATGTAGGTAGTTTTTGTTTCAGAAAGTTAATATGGTGTTACCATTTTAAATTTTCGTCTATTTGAATTCCCAGAAATTTTGATTTGAAGAATTGTTTAATATGTTTTAGAATATTTTCTGTTCCTCCGTTGGTTATAAGGTGGTTATAAGGGATCTTGATATTTTTATACTGTGGTGTCATCGGCAAAAATTATACAGTCCATTTCTTTTGGAAGTTTTTCAGGTAAATTGTAATATGATAAAAAGGAGGGGTCCGAGGATGCTTCCTTGGGGAATACCTTGTTGGTTCCATGATAAATCTATGGTTTTAGTCCTTGATTTAACCTGTGGATAGATTAAAAACAATTAATTGATCATCAAACATTATTAAGCGTAATCCTTCATATCAAACCAACCAAGTACTGTATTAACAATGTTACAGTACGTTCATTGATATTATGATAATAATTATCATAATATCAATGAACGTACTGTAACATTGTTAATACTTGGTTGGTTTGGTTTAACAGTTAATCAATTATTGATTAACTGTTAAAGCATCGGTGCTAATTTTGTTATAATATTAAGCTATGGTCATCACCACGTTTATTGTTTTCATGTTGGTACTCACCATCATAAAATTCACAAAATGCGATTGGGCAGGCTCGAGTCACGACGACGCGACGTTAACGAGTTTTTCTTCAGATTGCTGTGGCTGAGTGAGTGTTGAGCAGTGTTGCCACTTTTAGGGTAATTACCCTTTTTTAGGGTAATTTACTAGTCTTAGGGTAAAGTTTAGGGTAATGGTAGATTTAGGGTAATTTTAGGGTAAAACAAAAAGTTAGCATAACAATGGAATTTTAACTAAAAACATGAAAATAACCTTCAAAATTCGGCAAAAACGTTTATTACCTACATATTATAGCCCAACCGTCATATGCGATTCAACCCGCTTAAAAATCTATTGTTAATGATGCATTTTTCATAAGTTAATCGATCTAATCCTCTAATCAATAGTTGTGAATTATCTCAATTCTATAACACGTTATAATAAAATATGACATATTATTCATTACTTTTTGATTTTTAATTATTGAATTGAATTAAACTAGGATTATTTAACAAATTTTTTAAAAAAATTACTGCCAAGTATAGATTTGGTGTTACCGTACTGTATTATAAAGATATGATTGTCCAAAAACAGTAGTAGGCTAAAATGGGTCGACACAGTAAGAAAATACGATAATTCTTGATTCGATATTTTTCGTATATACGATAGAGCTGAATGTCGACATTTTGTTCTTCTTTTTCGAGTTTTTTTTAGAATCTAGTATAATTTTACGTATATTGATTGATATTGGAGCCTTATTTAGTTTAATTAACCACCTTATGTAAGATTTATATTATTTTAACAATGTTTTATTAAATATAGCATTAAACGCAAATATTAACATTTAGGGTAATTTTTAGGGTAACTCAAAGTAGATTTAGGGTAATTTAGGGTAATTTTAGCCCGCATTTAGGGTAAAATCGCAACAACGAGGTGGCAACACTGGTGTTGAGTGGCGCCATCTTACCATCTAGGACTAGAACTCGAGGTTGTTGTCATTCCTTTTTCCGTCAACCAAATCGGGTTAATTTGTGATATTAATTATTAGTCAGATGTAAAATGCCAGTCAAAGTTGATATTGTTCCTCCTCCACCTGCCAACTCCAAACAACCAGGCGTAACAAGGTCACTTCTTTACAACGGATCTCGGTTCCAAGGTCACCAGAAATCGAAGGGAAACAGCTACGAAGTTGAAGTAGTATTGCAGGTTAGTTTATTCTATGAGGCTATATCTAACTCACAATTTAAAGTTATAATTTGTATTTAAATCGTATAGCCTTAAAGCTATTTTGTATTATTTAATCCTACTGTGAGATACCTAGTCTATTGCAGCTCTTAAGCGAGCACATTTAACTGAGAAACTAGGCCTTTCTACTTGGCCCAGTCCCAGTAACTTGGCATATTGCAACCATGAGGTTTGTTGACCTATGTCTTAAAAATTCATCCAGTAGGCCTAATGTTGATGGTAAAACTTAGCCTCTTTGCATTAGGCTACCTAGGCCTAGGCGGCCTAACCAAGTTACATTAAATGTTGCCTCCAATCTAGGAGTGTAATTTACCTAGGCCTAACTTATAGTTTTTAGGCTACTGAATCCATAAAATAGGCCATGCCTACCAAATTATGTTTTACCGCAAATGAATACTAACTTGTACTAGCCTTGGTGATAAGCTCCCCTCTTAAAATAACTTAAGCCTAACTTAACCCTAGGAGTGGCAGATCGACAGAAAATGTCGATTTCAAAATGTGCCGCTGGAGTGGCGGGCGACAGAATATGTCGATTTATGTAACGTTTTTTTCAGTTGCATGTTAAGCACATTTAAAGTCTGTGAAATGACATAACTCTTATACCAATGGAAAGATGAGATTCCGTAGTTTCGTTTTATTATAAGAATGAACCTTATAACATAAATATATCGATCTTATAATGAGTTACATTTAAACGAAAAATACGCGAAAACTCGCGAACGCCATGTTTTGTTGCGCAATCGTAAATGATGAGTCATTTCAAAAATAAATAGCAGACGTGATTTTTGTCTCTGACAAAAGCAAGTGGTACCACTGCAACAAGCATGAAGAAATCTTTTATTCTGTATAAAGTATAACGTCATAATACATTCCAACAGCTGATAAACAATTTTTGTAAATAGCCTATTTTTACGTATTGTTCATGTGGCGGATCGACATAAAATGTCGATTTCTAAATTGCATATATATACAATGTGAAAAGTACAAAAACGTTGTTTTATATAGGTACCCTCTTGGGTTAATATGCATTTTAGGGTTTGCACGCGATTTTTTAATTTTTTTTTTCATTCTACTCGAAATTTAACGCTGATTCCGAAAATGACGTTCTTTTTCCGCGGAAAACGACCATAACGCGGAAAAACGACCAAAAACTCTTTTTTTACCAAAACACGTCATGTGGGTACTCAAATTAACCGGAATATTTAGCAGATCACGACTATGCAAGAATTTTTTGGATCCGAGGTCAAATAAGCGAGATATTCACGAAAACGTGATACTACCAGCAATAACTCCAACTCACTAGGGGACAGGTGGGAATTCGGGGTTTTGGGTGGGGGAGACATCTAACGTGGTTTATCGTTGTAATTTAATGTGTAAAAAATAATGGGTAATTAGTCGGGAGAATTATGGGAGATATGCTTGAAATTGGGAAATTTTTCAGTACCAACCTATTCATTGGTTGTAGTAGCACTGCCATGTTGCTCGTTAGGTTAGGTTAGGTTGGTTAGGTTAGGTTGGTTAGGTTAGGTTAGGTTGGTTAGGTTAGGTTAGGTTGGTTAGGTTAGGTTTGGTTAGGTTGGTTAGGTTAGGTTAGGTTGGTTAGGTTAGGTTGGTTAGGTTAGGTTAGGTTGGTTAGGTTGGTTAGGTTAGGTTGGTTAGGTTAGGTTAGGTTAGGTTGGTTAGGTTATTTTGGTTAGGTTAGGTTAGGTTAGGTTGGTTAGGTTAGGTTGGTTAGGTTAGGTTAGGTTAGATTGATTAGGTTAGGTTAGATTGATTAGGTTAGGTTAGGTTGGTTAGGTTAGGTTGGTTAGGTTAGGTTGATTAGGTTAGGTTAGGTTAAGTTAGGTTAGGTCAGTTTGGTTAGGTTAGGTTGGTTAGGTTAGGTTAGGTTAGGTTGGTTAGGTTAGGTTTGGTTAGGTTGGTTAGGTTAGGGTAGGTTAGGTTAAGTTAGGTTATGCATAGTATCATCCCTTTTACCTGTTAAATTAAAACATAAACACCAGATAACACAGACAAAAGTTAGAGCAAAAATCCAAAATAGCATCGCATATTTACGTGAAAATCTCGCTTATTTGACCTCGGATCCAAAAAATTCTTGCATAGTCGTGATCTGCTTAATATTACGGTTAATTTGAGTACCCACATGACGTGTTTTGGTAAAAAAAGAGTTTTTGGTCGTTTTGGTCGTTTTTCCGCGTTATGGTCGTTTTCCGCGAAAATTATGTTAACCAAATTATGTTTTACCGCAAATGAATACTAACTTGTACTAGCCTTGGTGATAAGCTCCCCTCTTAAAATAACTTAAGCCTAACTTAACCCTAGGAGTGGCAGATCGACAGAAAATGTCGATTTCAAAATGTGCCGCTGGAGTGGCGGGCGACAGAATATGTCGATTTATGTAACGTTTTTTTCAGTTGCATGTTAAGCACATTTAAAGTCTGTGAAATGACATAACTCTTATACCAATGGAAAGATGAGATTCCGTAGTTTCGTTTTATTATAAGAATGAACCTTATAACATAAATATATCGATCTTATAATGAGTTACATTTAAACGAAAAATACGCGAAAACTCGCGAACGCCATGTTTTGTTGCGCAATCGTAAATGATGAGTCATTTCAAAAATAAATAGCAGACGTGATTTTTGTCTCTGACAAAAGCAAGTGGTACCACTGCAACAAGCATGAAGAAATCTTTTATTCTGTATAAAGTATAACGTCATAATACATTCCAACAGCTGATAAACAATTTTTGTAAATAGCCTATTTTTACGTATTGTTCATGTGGCGGATCGACATAAAATGTCGATTTCTAAATTGCATATATATACAATGTGAAAAGTACAAAAACGTTGTTTTATATAGGTACCCTCTTGGGTTAATATGCATTTTAGGGTTTGCACGCGATTTTTTAATTTTTTTTTTCATTCTACTCGAAATTTAACGCTGATTCCGAAAATGACGTTCTTTTTCCGCGGAAAACGACCATAACGCGGAAAAACGACCAAAAACTCTTTTTTTACCAAAACACGTCATGTGGGTACTCAAATTAACCGGAATATTTAGCAGATCACGACTATGCAAGAATTTTTTGGATCCGAGGTCAAATAAGCGAGATATTCACGAAAACGTGATACTACCAGCAATAACTCCAACTCACTAGGGGACAGGTGGGAATTCGGGGTTTTGGGTGGGGGAGACATCTAACGTGGTTTATCGTTGTAATTTAATGTGTAAAAAATAATGGGTAATTAGTCGGGAGAATTATGGGAGATATGCTTGAAATTGGGAAATTTTTCAGTACCAACCTATTCATTGGTTGTAGTAGCACTGCCATGTTGCTCGTTAGGTTAGGTTAGGTTGGTTAGGTTAGGTTGGTTAGGTTAGGTTAGGTTGGTTAGGTTAGGTTAGGTTGGTTAGGTTAGGTTTGGTTAGGTTGGTTAGGTTAGGTTAGGTTGGTTAGGTTAGGTTGGTTAGGTTAGGTTAGGTTGGTTAGGTTGGTTAGGTTAGGTTGGTTAGGTTAGGTTAGGTTAGGTTGGTTAGGTTATTTTGGTTAGGTTAGGTTAGGTTAGGTTGGTTAGGTTAGGTTGGTTAGGTTAGGTTAGGTTAGATTGATTAGGTTAGGTTAGATTGATTAGGTTAGGTTAGGTTGGTTAGGTTAGGTTGGTTAGGTTAGGTTGATTAGGTTAGGTTAGGTTAAGTTAGGTTAGGTCAGTTTGGTTAGGTTAGGTTGGTTAGGTTAGGTTAGGTTAGGTTGGTTAGGTTAGGTTTGGTTAGGTTGGTTAGGTTAGGGTAGGTTAGGTTAAGTTAGGTTATGCATAGTATCATCCCTTTTACCTGTTAAATTAAAACATAAACACCAGATAACACAGACAAAAGTTAGAGCAAAAATCCAAAATAGCATCGCATATTTACGTGAAAATCTCGCTTATTTGACCTCGGATCCAAAAAATTCTTGCATAGTCGTGATCTGCTTAATATTACGGTTAATTTGAGTACCCACATGACGTGTTTTGGTAAAAAAAGAGTTTTTGGTCGTTTTGGTCGTTTTTCCGCGTTATGGTCGTTTTCCGCGGAAAAAGAACGTCATTTTCGGAATCAGCGTTAAATTTCGAGTAGAATGAAAAAAAAAATTTCAAAAATCGCGTGCAAACCCTAAAATGCATATTTACCCTCTCTTGTAGACGAAGGACAGTAGAATTCAATGTTGTTAGGCTGGTCACACAAATAGAAGCTTTTGATTTTTCAAAGCTAAAGGAACAGAACACTTGTCATCGTCTAACCTAAAATGGCGGCGTCGTCGTGAGTTTTTGTCCGATAACAAAGACGAAGTGTGGGTTTATCCCTAATTTTACATTGTAATGTTCGTTTTAGTTTATTATTTTGTATAAGGCGAAATATTTATGCATTATTTTGCATAAATATTTATACATGAGTGATCCAAAATAGGATAAAAAGTCAGTGAAGTTTTGTGGGCTATAACAGCTGATCAGTTGTTTTGTTTACATTTTTGCTTTTGTGAAAACCAAATATTCTATTACTTATCTTATTTAGTTATTCTTATATAGAATGATATTATTGGCTTCAAAAAAAAATATGGTTTTATTATATTGATAGCCTATATTTGTAGAGGGCATTTGTGGATCTATCAACGTGTAGTTGAAGAATTTGACGTTTTCCAATTTTTCCGTATTATTGCTAGTAAATCTATAAAAAAATAATTGTTTTGTGTAAATTATGATATGTCTATGTAGAGGAATAAATTCTGAACAAAATGCATATTTTGAATTGTGCAATAAAAAATTACGTTACATGTGACACGTGTTTGCTTTTGAAATAAAATTTGATAAATTTATAAATTTTATTTTTTTTACTTTTTTATAAAAATCTACCTTTCTAAAATTGGTTTGTATTAGGCTACCATTTTTGAATTCTACTGACTATTACGAACAAAATGAATA